TGTGGAGGTTTTCTTCAACATGACTGTAATAATAATGTTCCACCATCTTTTTAATAATTACAACATATATATTTTTTAACTCACCACCATCTGGGAAGTAGTAAGGGCAAGAAGAGTGTCTCATTGATAGGCCAAGGAGGTGGCGGGTGCCCACCTGGAACTGACCTTCTGCTCAGTGTGTGTGGGTGCCTGGGCAGGGGAGGGGACTGGGGAGAAATTGCTCACGCTGGGCAGGATGTCAGGAAAGGTGTTCTAATCACCAGGCCATGATCCATTAGAATCGTGGCCCTGTTATCATATGATTACGTGTCTGCACACATTTGAGGTTATGGCACTGAAAACAGCCAAGACCCTCCCTCTTTGCTGAAAGATAAATGCCTCCTCTTCCAAGGTACTGACAAACGAGACAATTCCTTCTCTCCCCGGTGGGTCAGTACATCTTTCCAGTTCTTTGCTAGTGAATCCTTGTTTCCCTGAGACAGGGTTGGTGAGCAGGTGATTGATTGAACAGAGTGGGGACATGTTTGGAAATAACTCAGCATCCTGATTTAAGGGATGCTCAGAAATACAGGCTCATGATGTTTAGCTTGTTTGCTTCCTGCTGGGATTGTTTCCCAGCTGGATTAATTCGAAGCCAGTAACTGGTTTGTACCTCTCTTCTTCAGTCCCCTGCATGAGTGTGCAGACTTAGAGGGAGTAGAGTGTTGAATGTTGGTCCCCCCTGCCAAAGATATGTCCACATCCTCACCACCAGAACCTGTGACTGTGACCTTATTTGGCAAAAATTATCTTTGCAGATGTAATTAAGTAAAGGATCTCAAGATGAGATCATCCTGGATTATCCAATGGATCCTAAATCTAACGTCAAGTGTCTTTATAAGAGACAGCAGAAGATGGATACAGGGAGAAGAGGAGAAAGCCGTGTGAAGACTGAGGCAGCCACAAGCCAAGAAATGCCTGGGGGGCTGGCCGGATGCTCAGCTGGTTAGAGCGCGGTGTTATAACACCAAGATGAAGGTCGAGGTTCCCACACCAGGCAGCTGCGCCCCCCCACAAAATGTCTGGAACCACCAGAAGCTAGGAAAGACAAGGAAGGATCCTTCCCTCGAGGCTTTGAAGTGAGCACAGCCCAAATGACACCTTGATTTCAGACTTTGGCCTCCAGAACTGTGAGAGAATAAATTTCTGCAGATTTTGGCCACCAAATGTGTGGTGGCAATCTGTTATGGCAGCCCTAGGAATCTAATACAGAGGGGTAGCACATAATCGAGAGGAAAGGCAATCTATCAGGAGGCAGGGGACTTCGGCTGCAGTCCCGGTGCTGCTGCAGACTAGCTGAGTGCCTTTGCACACATCATTTAGCTGCTCCCGGCCTCAGTTTTTCTACATATGAACACTGCATGATAATAGAGCCTTAGCTGTCCTGCAAGAGGGGTCCAGCCATGAGCCCGGATAATGCAAATAAAAGCACTGTACAAAAGTAAAGGTGGTTATTATTTTATGTTTTTGGTGTCTGGCTATGGGGATCTGAATCCCGAGAATGTTTTAATCTGGGTTATGGAAGAGCGTTAAAATCAGTGCCCACACCTCTGTGGGCATAAACAAAAGGAACAGGGTGGGGAGAGCTGGGTTCTTGCAAGGCCAACCAGATGGGCCAGTGCAGCGGGCTGGGGTTGGCTGAGAGGGACAGGACGCACTTTCCACGACACCTTTGCAGAAGGAGGAAGGCGGTCTGGAAGCAGAGCCTGGCAGGTCAGCTCCAGGAATCTGGAGCTTCAGTGAGATGGAGGGGCCCAGCCATGGGCTTGACGGTCTGCTGGGGCAATACCCTGACACAAGGGCCATCCTGGGGACCTCAAATCCTGGCTGAGAATCCCTCACTACCTGCCAGGCATGTGTGAGTTCCTCACAGGCTGAAAATCCTGCAGCTGCTGGAAGGGCCGGGGTGGAATGAGAAATGGGATTTGGGTCTTGGTGGGGCCACACCTATGTTGGGGACAGTTGTTGGGGGCATTCAGCACCCCACACCCCACTCTGTGCTTACACATTCCCTCTCTGTCTTTCTCTTTCATGTTCTGATGCTCCTTTTTTTGAGCTTGCTTTTGAGTGATAAGTAGTAACAGCAACTGTTTGCTGAGCGCCTACTGTCAGCCACACGTGCATCGCATGTCGTGTTCTCAACACCACGACCCCAGCTTCCCAGGTGAGGAGCCAGAGGTGCAGGTAACTTTCCAAAAGACACAAGCCCCAGACCCCAACCCAGAGCCCATGTCCCAGTCATTCTGCTTCAGGTCTAAGAGCAGGACTCTGAGGTCTGTCTTTTACATCAGATACAGCCTGAGAGAGGAGGTGCAGGTAACTTTCCAAAAGACACAAGCCCCGGACCCCAACCCAGAGCCCATGTCTCAGTCATTTTGCTTCAGGTCTAAGAGCAGGACTCTGAGGTCTGTCTTTTACATCAGATACAGCCTGAGAGAGGGATGGAGGAAGGAGGGATATTCCAGAAAAAGAGCAATAATTCCGGCTCCCAGTTTCCCTGCTAGGAATACGACCCTGCCTTATCTTCACTTCAAATTCTCCAGTGGCCCTGGGCTTGCCTGATAAACTTCCCAGACTTTTTGGCCTCACTCTTAAAAGTTATTGAGGATCTGAAAAAGCTTTTGTTTATGTGGATTATAGCTATTAATATTTGCTGTATTAGGAACTAAAACTGAGAAATTTTTGAAATAGTTCCTTATTAGTTATTTTTAAATAACAATAAAAAACCATTATATATTGACATAAATAAGTTTTAATGAAAAAGAACTACATTTTCCAAGACAACGATAAAAATGTGGGGAGCGGAGTGGTGTTGCTTTTCATGTTCTCACATCTGCTTCTGCATCACTCTGCTGTGCTATGTCTTGGGGTGGAACTGCATGACCATCTGGTCTCACAGGGCTATGTGGTTAGAAAGGGCAGGGCCTCATGGCCCCGAGGAAAGGGTCTCAGGGACCCACAGGGACTCGTGACCACACTTTGGGAACTGATACTCTCACTCTTTGGCTCAATGTATGAGGCTCGGCACATCTGATCTGGGCCCCACCAGCCTCTGATCCTTGTCCCCATCCCTTATCACTCCTTGAGGTCCCATGTCCCCAAGATCTGTTCCTGCCAGATGGATGATGGCTTCTCCCCACCCCCAGGACACGTGAGCCTTTTCATACCTCCTAACCTTTGCATTTGACCCTCCCTAGGCCTGGGATTCCTTTCCCTTCCTTCTCTGCCCGGCAAACTCTTGCTCAGCTTTGAGACCCCACTCGGAGGCCACCTCCTCCATGAAGCTTGCCTTGGTGCCCCGCCCTCTACTCCCAGCCACAGAGGGTTGGCCTGCCTGGGGCTGCTGACCACCAACACTCTCTTCTCCTCTACCCCAAGGGCAGGCAGCTGGCAGGCAGCTCCCCAAAGGCTGGGAGACCTCCTGTCCCCTCTGCCATCCTGGCTGCTTTGTGGAATGAAGGAGTTCAAGCATGGAAGGAAGGAAGGAAGGAAGAATTCCTGCTACTCAGGGAGTAGAAACTGCTCCAGAAAACGCTTGCAGCTTCGCTCCCCTGCTTTGTCCCCTGTATTCTCCTCTCAGGCGGCTGAGGCCGTAGGAGAGAGAATGCAAACCTATTTCCCTCTCTCCTTGGCCTTCTCTCCATTCACGTCCACAGGCAGGGATCCGGCTCCCCTGCCCCCTGCCGTGGCTGTAGGAGTGGCCCATCCTGAGCCCATGTGTGTGTGTGAGTGTGTGTGTGTGTGTGTGTGTGTGCATGTGTGTATGTGTGAGAGAGAGAGAGTGTGTGTGTGTGTGTGTGTGTGTGTGTGAGAGAGAGAGAGAGANTGAGTGATAAGTAGTAACAGCAACTGTTTGCTGAGCGCCTACTGTCAGCCACACGTGCATCACATGTCGTGTTCTCAACACCACGACCCCAGCTTCCCAGGTGAGGAGCCAGAGGTGCAGGTAACTTTCCAAAAGACACAAGCCCCAGACCCCAACCCAGAGCCCATGTCCCAGTCATTCTGCTTCAGGTCTAAGAGCAGGACTCTGAGGTCTGTCTTTTACATCAGATACAGCCTGAGAGAGGGATGGAGGAAGGAGGGATATTCCAGAAAAAGAGCAATAATTCCGGCTCCCAGTTTCCCTGCTAGGAATACGACCCTGCCTTATCTTCACTTCAAATTCTCCAGTGGCCCTGGGCTTGCCTGATAAACTTCCCAGACTTTTTGGCCTCACTCTTAAAAGTTATTGAGGATCTGAAAAAGCTTTTGTTTATGTGGATTATAGCTATTAATATTTGCTGTATTAGGAACTAAAACTGAGAAATTTTTGAAATAGTTCCTTATTAGTTATTTTTAAATAACAATAAAAAACCATTATATATTGACATAAATAAGTTTTAATGAAAAAGAACTACATTTTCCAAGACAACGATAAAAATGTGGGGAGCGGAGTGGTGTTGCTTTTCATGTTCTCACATCTGCTTCTGCATCACTCTGCTGTGCTATGTCTTGGGGTGGAACTGCATGACCATCTGGTCTCACAGGGCTATGTGGTTAGAAAGGGCAGGGCCTCATGGCCCCGAGGAAAGGGTCTCAGGGACCCACAGGGACTCGTGACCACACTTTGGGAACTGATACTCTCACTCTTTGGCTCAATGTATGAGGCTCGGCACATCTGATCTGGGCCCCACCAGCCTCTGATCCTTGTCCCCATCCCTTATCACTCCTTGAGGTCCCATGTCCCCAAGATCTGTTCCTGCCAGATGGATGATGGCTTCTCCCCACCCCCAGGACACGTGAGCCTTTTCATACCTCCTAACCTTTGCATTTGACCCTCCCTAGGCCTGGGATTCCTTTCCCTTCCTTCTCTGCCCGGCAAACTCTTGCTCAGCTTTGAGACCCCACTCGGAGGCCACCTCCTCCATGAAGCTTGCCTTGGTGCCCCGCCCTCTACTCCCAGCCACAGAGGGTTGGCCTGCCTGGGGCTGCTGACCACCAACACTCTCTTCTCCTCTACCCCAAGGGCAGGCAGCTGGCAGGCAGCTCCCCAAAGGCTGGGAGACCTCCTGTCCCCTCTGCCATCCTGGCTGCTTTGTGGAATGAAGGAGTTCAAGCATGGAAGGAAGGAAGGAAGGAAGAATTCCTGCTACTCAGGGAGTAGAAACTGCTCCAGAAAACGCTTGCAGCTTCGCTCCCCTGCTTTGTCCCCTGTATTCTCCTCTCAGGCGGCTGAGGCCGTAGGAGAGAGAATGCAAACCTATTTCCCTCTCTCCTTGGCCTTCTCTCCATTCACGTCCACAGGCAGGGATCCGGCTCCCCTGCCCCCTGCCGTGGCTGTAGGAGTGGCCCATCCTGAGCCCATGTGTGTGTGTGAGTGTGTGTGTGTGTGTGTGTGTGTGCATGTGTGTATGTGTGAGAGAGAGAGAGTGTGTGTGTGTGTGTGTGTGTGTGTGTGAGAGAGAGAGAGAGAGATCACAAACTGCCTACAGGAGCCTGGCAGGAAACAAAATGGTGAAGCCCTCTGGGGTCCAGGACAACAGGGAGTGGTGGGGACTGGGGCAAAGAGGACCCACCCAAAGAAGTGGCCACAGATCAGCACCAGCAGAGCCTACCTGCTAAGAAGAGCTGGAAGTTCTTACTTTTAGGTGAGGTCTTCAGATTTTTACGTGTTGTCCTAAATTCATAACATGCCGTGTTGGTCCAAAGGACATCAGAGGGCCTCGGGTCAGCAGAGGTGGAGGGGGAAGTCTTGCTAGGTGTGGAGTAGGGGGTGGGAGGAGAGGAACCCAGCCAGGGGATGGCGTTTCCCAAGCCCTAACCTGGCTTCTTTCCAGGGAACCTCACTCACCCTGTGAGTGGCAGCTGTGCTCCCCACCCTTTGGGAGAGCACAGGGGTTCTCGCAGAAAGACCTGATCTAGCACACTTAGGAACAGGAGCGGGAAGGGACCTTAGTCCAGCTTGGAAGCCGAGACCTGGGGAGGTCTAGGGACTAGCCCGAGGTGGTGCAGCCAGCCCCCGGCAGCGCCCGCTCCTGGGTGCCTGCCTGGGCCGGTCTGTCAGTTGCTAACGCCGCCTTGTCACGGAAACGTGAAATACTGCTCCGAAGCAGCCCAGTGCACTACAGCCCGTGCTCCACCCGATGTCACCTTCCCTTTAATTTCCCAGAGCTCCTCTGCCTGTCCCCCCTGCACACTCAGCCTCCCCACCCTCGGTGGCTCTTCCAGAACCTCAAGATTTCACACGATATTGGTCTTGGGAGGGGATTCAGTCATGAGACCGGGACCCTGCCAGAAAAAGGAGTTTAAATATCAGCATGTTCTTTTAGGAGTTCTTCTAAATGTAGCAAAATGAGTAGTTTTAGTGACAAAGAGAGAATCTTTACAGATGACAAATTTCTTTCCTTGGAGTCTGCTCTCGCCCCTGACCCTCTGCAGCCTCAGCAGGGAGGCTGGGCACCCACTACCCTATGCCCAATAGTCATTTCGTCCCTCCAGCCATCCCCCAGCTGACTGCAGCCACTTAAGGCCAGAGACTCCAGGGGCACTGGGGGAACTCCCGATCTGCACCCCTGTCATGGTGCCTGAAATTCCATCAGCCCAGCTCTGCTCTTGAAGGACTTTTCCTCTTCTAAAGTCACTCATTAGAATGTAAACACTCTGGGGAGGCAGACCCTCTGTGCTGCCTCCTCCCTCTTCTGCCTGGCCACTGGCTGGATTCAGGTGCCACCAGGTCATCTGGGAGCAGATGGGTCTAAGCAGAGTCTGAGGGGACAAAGGGCAAGGGTATGTCCCAATGGGGTGGCCCCCTTCATTTGGAAGCATGGAAGAGGGCGCCTAACCCGGCCTGGGGAATTCAGGAAAGGCTTCCCGAGGAAGTTCATGCTGGGTCCTGAGGAAGGAGCAGGCGTTGACCGGTGAAAGGCAGGGAAGGTGAGGGGCCCAGGCAGGGGACCGCAGGCGCAAAGCCCTAAGGCCAGAGCACAGCGGGTTCGAGAAGGTGCAGGGTGCTGGGTGTTGAGTGGGAGGAGGTGGGAGGGGAGCTGGAGAGGCTGTCGGCCGCGCTGGGGAGTGTGCTCTTCCCGTCCGGGCAACTGGGAGCCACTGAAGGCTCTATGCAGGGAGGGGACCAAGTTAGATTTGCAGCAGAGAAAAAGGGCTCGACTGCAGCCTGGAGACTGGGTGGCTGGGGAGCACGATGGAAGAGGAAGGCCAGGCAGGAAGCCATTATAGGGCTTCTGGTGGTGGCCTGGACCCAGCTTGTGACAGGCAAGATCCGGAGGTCAGCCATCTAGGACAAGGCAGAGAGCAATGCCCCGGACTCCATCCCAAGCCCCCATCATCTGGCTCTGTCCCTGAGGGCAGGACGCACCGGCTCCG